CACACACACTCACACTCACTCACACACACACACACGCTCACACGCACACTCACGCACACACACGCACTCACTCACACACACTCACACACAGACACTCACTCACACACACACACACACACTCACACACACACTCACACACACTCTCACACACACACACACACACGTCAGATATTCAGCTCTGCAGCTCCTCAGATGTTTAGAAACTGTATTTTCAGGAGTATTGAGTGTCGAACGATCAGAACTTCTTGCTTTTTAACCCTTTCTGGTTCATTTGAGAAAGCTCTTCAGTTATTGGCCAAATGGTGGATGATGTTTGAAGTCATTGCCAACAGATTCAATTCAGATTCACTTTACCGAATTCACGTTTCTCATGATCTTAACAACTAGGAGTGAGTTTTGGAGCAAACAGTGATGGAAACGTGCTCATGATGCATGTTCAGTAGTGTTTATAAGCAAATACCAGCGAGTTTTTGGTTCCAGATGGTTTTTTTCCCATTCATTTTTCCCATAGGGATTTGTAAAAAGTCTCTGTTGAAGCGTTATAAGTCATGAACCAAACCAACCAGCTACGAGGAGAATCACAACATTACACACTTTTAATGTTAAGCAAAAAAATCATTTGAAAATCAGACAAGAAAGAAAGAACTACAATCCCATGAGGCATTGCGAATAACAATCGAATTAAAAATGATGGTGAAATATAAAACTATTCATTTAAAGTTGTTGATTAGAAGCTATATATTTTAGGTTTACTGAAAAATATACACAAATATTTAAGTATTTTGAGAGCGACTGCGTCACGACGTCATTCGCCGCGTTTCGCTGAGTGGGCGGAGCTAATGACGTCTTTCGGCGGCTCTCTGATTGGTGGAATTTCCTGCATAAAAATTACATTGCATCATGGGTGATGTAGTTTTTCACCACGAATAAAACATGATTATTAAAAAAACGAGTTGAAATAAAGCGAGAAAATGATTGGAGTTTTTGCATAGCGATTGTTGCACTCTCTTGAGTTATTTCACAGCTAAAGTCGGCATGGGATGGAAAGTCACGGAAATGCATGTTATAGATTTTATTGTAAGTAAATCATCCGTGCATATGTTTCATTTTAAAACATGTTTCGACCTCCTAATGTCATAACTACACAGGACTTTTTAAAGCGCCACGCCCACATCTCAACATCCAATCAACAAACGATGCATAGAGCCAAGTCCCGCCCTACATTTTTTTTCCCCCGATAATCGGTTTCGCTCAAATCTGTCGTTTCATCACTTTAAAGATCGAGTCGGTGTCTAAACCTTTGATTGGTAGCGTTTACCAGCGTACTATATATATTCCTGACTTGGTACTTCAAAAATAGTGTCAAAAAAGATTACTGTGGTAAAATGTCTAAACTTAGCGTATGGTACTATTTAAAATGCACGTTAAATGATATTCAAATGTACTTAAAAGAATATGACGCTACCTTTAGTAAGTGAGTTTGATGTGTGACGTCACTTCGCGACGGAGAAAAAACGCGATCGGTTTTTCGCGACGAATTGTAGAGTTGTATTTTGTCATTATTTGAAATACAATTCGGATTTTTATTTTATTTTATTTATTTTTTTTGTTTGTTTCCCCAAGCCATTTGCAGATGTCTCCTCTGTAAAAAAATAAAAAAATAAAATAATAATTATAATAAAAATTATATAGAAGAGCTTAAACTCCATTACTAAAGTATAAGAGTGTCCTGTTGCCATAAACAACGTAAAAACACGGATTTATGAAATGAGTAACACGTGCGTGTCAGTATTATTCATGACCAAAGCCAACAAACGGTTTTGATGACTGTCCAGCAGAGGGCGCCATTGATATTAAAACAGTTATTGATGAGCTGCGGAATTATTTAAATGATGATTTATTAATATGATTAACTGATGTCAGATCCTCTAAATGCACAATATTTCACACCAGTGCCAAGCGATACACCTAACAATGCATTTCACGGAAGGCCAATATCGAAAACAATTTTCTAATTTTTTATGGTTTAATTATTGTAATATTTGTATGTTTTTGTTGCATCCACATTTTATTCTTAATGTCTATTAGATGTTTTCCGTTCATGGAAGTGTATGCTAGCTGTGCATTAATTTAAATGTGATAAATGCTTATCAATATGTGGCGCAACCACTCATAATGCCCTGTTTTATGTCATTTTATGAATAGAGATTTATGCCAATGACTAGATTTGTTGATAATAAAAACATTAAACATTGCAATTTTCACGTCGTTTTTTACAGTCTTATTTAAAATAAATTTGTGACATTAACAACAAAACTTACTAATGTTGTGAGTTCGGGGCTAGTTGTCACACTTTTCACCGCTAGTTTTTGCAGCCGCTCATTGGTCCTCTCGCCTGTCAATCAAAGAGCCTGTCATGGAGGAAAATAGAAATGCTGTTATTGAGGCACATACACAAACACATGGAAACAGCACAACCATCCTCTGAGTGTTTTGAAGGCTGTTTCACACAGATTATTGTCATTATATGTAGTGTGAGACTAGAAAAGAAAATAATCAGTGTGTTATCGTTCAAAACACTAATTAGTGCACAAAGAAACCGAGTCAGCTGAATAGAATACAATAGAATAGTATTCTTTAAAGCCATTAGATGTTGTAGCTATGAAACCAGTTAACGACAATATGTTCTCTGAACGTTGTTTTAAAACTCTTTTTTTTTTTTCTCGGAACATTCCATTTGAGAATGTAGCAAACGTTACAGGAACGTTACTTTTGAACATTCTCTGAAGCAAGTTGTAACATTTAAAAAACGTGAGACGAACATCCAAATGAAACATTTCAGGAAAAGTGTTCTGTAAACAATGTCTTTCTGCTAAAGATTTGAGAACCTTTCCGGAAGAGGATTTGTTTTCTTATCACAATTGCAAAAAGAAAGAAAGAAACTGTATTGTTTCAGTTTATTTTATTTTATACACAGCATCAGAAGAACCGGTGCACATCATTTCCCAGTCTATATTTTTCTAAAAAGTATTTTTAAATTATACTAATATAAATAATTTAGAGCAATTTAGTGTGAAAATTTTTTTATATATTGAAAATAAGACATTTATGCATATTATTTTAGCCTTTTTTAATTATTGTTCTGACAGATATTGTTCAGATGGGGTTTTTTTTCTAAATATTAAAATGAAAATAAATGCAGTCTTCAGTATGTCAGCTCTATTCATTATTATTAACTAAATTATTAATTAATTTAATGTTTGGTCATTTTTATTAGTTTTTAAGTATCTATCGTTTTTATTTTATTTAAGTTTTATTTATTTTAGCAATCAAGTTAAACGAAATTTAAAAAAAAAACGTCTCTGCAACTATCTAAAACGTTTACGTTTTTTATATTTTAAGTTACAAAAATTTTTTTTTTTTATGGTTTTTATTTTAGTTAACTATAATAATGTAATAACCCTGCTATTGACAGATTTCAAATAGTAAAATATACATTATTGTACATTATTATATTTGTTTCTGCTACTATATTCCTCAGACAAAACGGAGCGCTTTAAAACAATGTTTTTTTTTTCGTTATTATTATTATTTTATTTATAAGGCATTTTTGCTCTTTAAATTCAGTACAGAGGTGTAGTGTTCGAGTACAATAACTGCTGAATCATTGATTGCGAGGGCCTCAGATTTAGATACTTAGATTATATTTCTCACATAAATCAATATGATATAAAAAATTACCAAAATTATCAATTTAATGCGATATTGCCCATATTCCTTTCTCCATCCAATTCTCTAGAAACAACGATTTCCAATTATTAAGAATGCATCTGTTGAGTAAAACTGTTATTAAATATGACGTTCCTGTAACGAAGCCGATTTGCGTAACGTTTTGAGACATTCGCGCTGCGTATGCTGTAACGCTTCCGGTTCGGTCGCGCTCGCGTGACGCGCGCACAGACGCGTTTCCAGAGACGCTCGCTGATCACGGGAGAGACTGCGCAGTCAGGACGAACAGCAGCGAGACACATTCACCTCAACAGTGAGTACAATCCCTGGTTTACTGTAGTATGTGTGAGTCTGAAGCACCGAGCGCCGGAGACTGAACGCGTGAAAGACGCGCCGGTAGATTATAGCGGCGAGAGACGCGTCAGTCCGCGGAGGCCGCTTCAGGAGCGCGTGTTGTTCTGCTGGGATTCGGGTTCAGCGATAGAACGGTTGTGTTTAGCAGGCTCGGTTCGGGCTCTGTCCCGGTGTGGCGGAGACATCACCGGGCCTCCGGTGCGCTTCAGATTATAGATCACTGATTCTTTTATTCATCGGCCATTATTCTGATATGTGGCAATACCACGATTTAGCTACTGCGCATTATATTATTTAACTTCATATCTTTATACCTAAAATTATTTCCAGAAATTAGACAAATTATTGTTAAGGTCTTATGTTATGGTATTAGTGATTAGATATTATAATTTCCATTTTCCAGTTAAGGTGACTCAAATGGAAAATGTTTGTGTATTGTTTAAACTGTAAATAAAAAATGAATGCAAACAGTTAATATTCATAATGCACATATTATCAGATGCACACTAACTGTTGAGACGTGATGAAGTGCAATGAAATTGAAATAAAAATTTTCTCTTGTATTTCATTCATTTATAAAACATGAATGCTGGTTTTGAGCTGAATAAGTATGTCAGAAAGTAAATAATAAAGACTCTCACAAACACACACACACTCTCTCTCTCACACACACACACACACACACACACACACTCTCTCTCT